GAGAATACTTATTAAGAACAAAAAACTGTATAAAACAAAACAAATGGTCTCTAAATTTACAAACACAAAATAGCCACAGACACTCAAAAAAGAAATTCACTGATTCTTCTAAACAAATTTTATCAAATTTTCTTGATTTTTATAATTGATAATGTAGGGAAAAATTAGGAAACTTTGATACTGACCACTGTCCAACTGTAGTCTTTTTAACAGAGTCCACATTTTAAAACATATAGCCAGTTTTTAAAAAATTACGATTATAAAAACTGTTAACAGAAGGCATTTCTTTTGAAGCATTAAACAGGGTAAACATTATAAGATTCATTTCCAAAATAAAGAAAAAACTCAAGAAACAAATGTGAAATAACGTAATTTTCAGATCATAAAATATACATAATAATTTCAGATTTATTAAAAAATAATAATAATAAAATTGACACAGGATGCGCTCTCGACAAAGATATGGTGATCGGGTGGCGATTGGCAGACAATTTTTTAACCACTATTTGTTATATTTAGTCACCCTGCAGCCAGTGCTGACCGTTAGTTTTGCCCTTAACTGATAAGTTTTATTCTTAATTTTTCATATCTGTCACATTTGTGCACAGAAAATAAATTGTAAAATACTGTTGAAGTCAAAAATAATTTTAAAAAAATTACTAAAATAAAGTAATTGTAAAACTTAAATGTATATTATGTAAAAAGAGTCAAGTAGATAGCAGTAAAGCGATATAATTGATAACACATTTTATTTTATTTTACTTGGTATTTTTTGGTCATTAATTTTATTTTATGATTAAAGGAAAAAATAACATTTTGCCCAAAAAATATTTTTAAAATTGACAAACTTTTTGTATTATTTTATATCTATAATAAATATAAATACATTTAAAAAAAGAAAAAAAGCTTGGTACCAATATATTTATTAATATAAATTGAATTGTTAATTAGAAAATATCTTTGAAAATTGGAACTAATTGTTTCAGAAAATTAATTAGACAAAATTAGACTTTTTATGTATTTTAATTAAATTTGCTGATTCCATTATTTTTCCAATTTGATAAAATTCCCAGACTTTTCCCTGTTCTGGGACCATCTTAAAACAAGACCTGGCACAATAAACAATGCTCTAAAATTTATTTTCTAACATAACGGAAACCTAAGCTTCATATAGATTCCTGCAACAGTTGTATTCTCCCTTGTTATTTGTGATTTTTTTTTCATGATTTAAAAGTGAAGATCAAGAAAAATTATAATACTACCGAAACTTCAAATATATTTAAAATTGAACTCATCATATAGTTGAATCAATACATTATGAACAGGGTATGTCGATTACATAATATAGTGTGTAAAAGTGGCCCTGATTGGCAATTTCTCTATAGAGCAAGTTTTGTAGTAGTCAATAAAAATTATGATCTGGAGCTCAAAAATCTAAGGAGGAAACAATTTTAATTCATTTTCTAAAAGAGAATGCCATGCTGAATCAATTAAATGGGGAGTCTTTAAACTTCACATCATAAAGGCCATGCTGACTTTAAGGTCAAGGCTAAAACTTAGCCAGAAAAGTGTTATGTTTATGGGGAATGGAGTTATTGACTACCCTCCTAGTTCTTGAAATAAGAAATTTTTATTTTATTTAAATTTTTTGTTTCTACATACATCTTATACTATTCTTAAGACCAACTGGAAAACAGTTTGACTGATTAACCACTAAGTAGCTCATCATACTGTAGTTTTGAAATGTGCAACAACCATTGCATCAGAACTAGCTAGTAAGAGAGTATGTTACTTATTGTAAAATTTTAGAACAAATCTCATATCATTAATTGAATTTTCCAATTTCATTATGTTTATCAGCTATTGTGTTCCTTCAGACTATTTATTTTCAAGATTTACTAACAATATAAATTTTAAAATGTAATAAAAAATAAACTGAAGCAGACCAAGTACTTAGCAAGACAAGGTCTACTACAGCAGGCCAGATGAATGATACTAGCAAACTGACATTAGTTTGGGAACCATACTTTTCAAACTCCTGACTTAACAATGACGATAAAAAAAAGTTGGCAACCGTATATCGGGACATTCAACTATAATTTGAAAACAATTTTAGTATTTTTTTTGTTATTTCATTAATTTAATGTAATTAAATAATGTGGAAAATCAAAATTCTTTACAAACAAAATAGTACTAGATCTGCTTTATCAAGTAACTAGTAAAAAGACTAACTCCTCTGATAAAAGAATGTAAACAACATTCTAAAGTTCGAGCATCCCAATTTATTTAAATGCATAATAGAATAATCAACATGTGATGGGTTTTCTATTAGCACATTAATAAGATAAAGGCAACAAAAATGATGATAAATTAAAATTTAAAATCAATTATTCTCATCTCAGGAAAACTATATCCCAAAGTTAATATGTAAGTAAATAATTTAATATTTGAATAAACACTTGTGGTTAATTCAAATAAATAATTTGCTTCAGAATCAATTCTATAATGAAAAAAAAAGAGTTTGTTATATGTTAATACCAATTGTAACTCTTACTTAATCAGTATAATAATCTAATAAAATATCTATTAATTTTATCAAATTTAACAGAATTACATACTTCAATAGATATAGTTTATGCAAAAAATACACTTAACATTAAGTTGTGTAGAATCAAATTTTTAACTGCAACAACTAGAAAGAGCTTTTCCTTCAAAGCTTATTAGCTGATATGAAGAACGTATTTTACACCCCATTTTTTAAAGCATTCATGATATGATAGTAATAATACCAAAATCCAGATAAATAAACAGAGAGCATTAACCAATTAGGTTACCTAATAATAACACAAAACTAACAGTAGGAAAAAAATTGGAAAAACTTTTGATCTAATGGTTGGATTTTTATATATTACTAGGGAACAGCAATCATGATTTCAAAGATACACTTAATGCATGCTAATTAATTAAGTGCAAAAACTAATGAAGCTACAAAATCTAACACAGAAACTTATTTCCTCCAAATAAACATGGCTTTCATTACTGATTTGAATATTTTAGAATTGAAATAAACTAGTATTGATAATTCAGAAAACAATAAAAAAGTCAAATAGCTTCTTAATCTTAGTTTTTTTCCCCTCTAATTCTGAAACTAAATGGGTGCATTAAAGATGATATCCTACAAAAATATTTGAAATTTATTTTTAATATTGACAAAACTTTTTAAATAAGAAAGCACAAAAACTTTACATCATGTTAAATTAAGTGATTTTATAAGCATGAATAAGTATAAAATTTGAAAAACATCTTTTGAACATCTACTAAAAAAATACTGATTTAAAAAAAAAATTATATTATTCATATAATAATAAAAGTACATAGATATAAACTTAAATATAATAAATGCATATATACTGTTACTAAACATATAGATTACTGCGTATTACATATATTGTATACTGCATATTATCTATGCATATTATATATAAAGGTAAATATCTGAGATGAAACATTAGGGTGAGATTTTTCATCAAACCAGAAATACTAAACAGAAATTACGCCAATGTATATACATAATTAGCCTCAATAAAGTGGTATGCTAGTGGTATGTATTACTATTTTTTTGTAAGCTAACGAATTTCACGGCACTTTTTATGCATAAGATCTGGCAATTATAAAAAACATTCGAAATATACTATTTAAAAATAGCCTACTTTTTTTTACAGTTTTATTATGGTACATAAAAATTCTTAAAAATACTTTACAAACATAACAAAAAAAAACTTAATAATAATTGACATTTTTTAAAATTTTATAAAATAAAAATATAGATATTAGAAATACTAATTTAACTTTAAAATCCAATTTTTCATAAAAAGTGCTAATAATAAATTACAATAAAAATAAATAGATTACAAATCAGCTGTATTTTTAAATATTTAATAACTTTTTTTTTCAAACAAAAATGTTTGAAATTATTTCAATTACATGAACAAAATAATTTCAAAATAAATTGTCTGAATTCAAAGTTTTTTTAGCACTGAAAAGTTAATATAATGTTAAAAAAAGTAATATGAAAATTTTTAAAATTATAACTATAAAATATCCTCATTTTTGCAAATAAAGATCAATATTATGGTAATTTAAAATATAATAATAAATAAAAAATAATAATAAAAGAATTTTATGCAATTAAAAATAACATTTTGAACATGTTTCTAAGTTTAATGCACACACACATACAACAAGATATCAGTTATTTAAGGCATATGTTTCAGATGATCAAAGAAAGGCAGGAGTCTGGCACTAGCACATAGTTTGACACCATTTTATTACCGTTTTAACTTACATACTTAAATATTACTTTATCTTTCAACAAAATATATTCAAAGCCAGACACACAAACTAGGGACATTTTCACACTAAATAAATAACTTTTTGAAAAATGGACAGTACACAATAACATAAAAAATAAAGTTTATAAATTATCTTAATTTTAAACAAGCAAATGTATATATCTTTCTATCACAGGAAAATTTTTTTGCCTCGTTTGTAAAATTAGAGTAGTCACTATTTCACAATATTAAACAAAACTACAGAATAATAACTATTAAGACAAAATTTTTAAAAAATACATTAAGACAATACAGCTCTTTCAGATACTGAAAAATTACATTTTATATCAAAACTCGAAACATGCATGGATTTTATAAAAATTATAAAATTAGAACAAGATCTAATTAGGAAGAACAAGTTTGGCTACGTGAGCAATACCATTTTAGTAGAAATATTGTGTCGTACAAGAATGTTTCACGTTTAAATATTTATTTATTTGTATCTATATCTATATNATGGACCATCATTTCATCAGCACGAAGCGACTGAGCAATGACATCATCTCCATAAATAGAAATTATGGCACTACAATATATATATGTATGAGCCAAATAGCAAAATAAATAAAAAAATGTTTCTCTTTTATTTATTTTGCATTTAATCCATTGTTTTCAATAAATATTTTTTTAACAGTGGTTCTGAAGATTATTACAAAGTAGGAATATTAGACTAATGTTGAGCTCGGAATAATGTAAATATGTACTACATGTAAAGCACAGTACATAACACAACTACATATTTTGTAATCATTTCAAAAATTGTACGAAGTTATTAAATTGTATCATAGAATAGAATCTACAATAAGGACTATTTTGTACTAAAAATAAATGCACACACTACTTTGTTTTATATTAAACTGACTAGTAAAATGAGGAGAATAAATTAAAAATTAAATAACTAATTAAAAATAGGAAGCTGTTAAAGACAATTTATCTTAAAACAAAATGGGTTTTCATTGGTTTGAAATACCTTAAAGAAAAAACATTTTTGTTAAATCGAAAAAAAAATTCTAAAAATTGGTTAAACTGTTATAGATAAATTCTATAAAGACACAGGCACATTTGACATCAGACAAAACATTGGAAAGACAAGGTTTAAAACACTTATTGATAAAGGAAATATAGTGATTTGTGGATAATTTCACAAATCTAAGTGAATGGAAATAAAATAACTGTTGAACATTGATTTCATTTCAGATCACTTTGATGGTAGGGTCTTGTCCCCCATAGGGACAAGAATGATCTCCGTGGTTTCCAGAACAATCGATTAGAGGGACATGTCCACTGTCCCACATACCTGGACCACAAAGTTCACAAAGTCTGGACAAAGTACACGGGATACGAGGTAGTAACCGAAATTGATGCAACAGACCTCTAGCCTAAAAGACAAAGTTTTAAAATTCACTGATTCAGAAAACTTAATCCCGAAGCAGGGGAATATAATTTGTGTTTTTAACAAAAAAACCATGTTTCAAATTTAAAAAATTCAAGTTAAACATAAAACTAGTATGTGTATTATGTCACTAAAATACAGATTAAAAGAGTTAACAAAATTGATTTTATTAAAGGCAAGGATTTTGATGTACTTTTCAGTCTGTCAGGTTCTTGGATGTAAGAGATTTCAAAATGCTTTATAAAAAAAAAACTCTTTATTTCAATGAAACAAATAGTTGTCAGAAAATTTGTTCTTATTGATGCAAAAATAAAATTATTCAATTTTCTTGATTTTTGAGCCAAGTTCATTAAAAAAATTATTCCAAATGAGTAAATGGATAAAAAAATTAATAACTGAGGTTATAAAACTCAACTTTTAAATCTCACTTGAAGCCTACAAGTTCTTTTTAACTGGTTATTAAGAATTTTTCTTCCTTTTTTAAAAAAAAAATTAACATTGATTTGAAATAGTGTGAAAACCCATAATTAAGTTTCTTGGAAACAAACTACATTTTACAGTAACTATGCTCAAGCTAATAAAATTATTTCCATTTTCTGGCTTATTTTAGTTATAGATCTAAGCATCTGTTGAAAAAGGGCAAGCATTAATATGGCAAACATTGTTTTAATAAATTCCTAAAGCAAAGAAACATTCCTATTTTTGTTCCCTATTCATGAACCTTATTGTTCCTTTTAATTTTATTTCTATTAATTTTATAATTATCTAGTTGAATAATCAGCTATTAAGTGACGAGCCAGAATGAAGTTATTTCATGATAGGAAACTAAAAAAAAACTCTAAACATAAAAACATTATAAAAAATTATGAAGCAAAATCATGAAAATAAGCTCCATATTAAAACTACCCATAAATGTACCATTATACCTATGTTTTGATTTACCTTTCGTAAAACTAGATCTCCATTCATGTACATGGCCAGGCTACTAAAATGGACCATCATTTCATCAGCACGAAGCGACTGAGCAATGACATCATCTCCATAAATAGAAATTATGGCACTACATATAAAAAGGTGAAAATAATCTGTTTGATAATGAGCCCAGCAGGATTCCCACATCTTCATAAATTCCGGTTCTGGAAATTCTCTTTTGAAGCAAAGAAGTATCCATCGGTGCACAAACAATAAATCTAAACCATCTGCCACACACAAGTGATCGTAAAACTTTTTATTCATGACTCTAAACAGTTCTCCCAAATAATTCTGAAACAATTAAATTAATAATTAAAATAAAGTTAGAAAATAAAAATTAAGCAGCATAAAATAGTGATTGTTAAAGATGACTTTAAATATATATAATAAACACCCAAGATTCTCACTCAATTTCAAAAAAAAAAAATTCCCTAACTTTTTCAGATATAACCAGGTAAATTTCAAAGAAAATCGAGACAATATTTTATCTATACCATGCAATTTTTCCCCAGAAAAATTCTTTCATTCATAATGCCAAAAAGCAAATTTTCTGTGTAAAAAAATATATCATTAAATAAGGATAGGAACCTTTCAGTTTGACAAAATTTTTAAATTTTTACAATAAATAATTGTAATAAATGTTAGAATTATTTAACTTGAATCTCAATAACTGATTACTGTTACTAAAAATTTTAAGACTGGTTATTTTAAAGATATGATATAGAAATTTTCCAGGTTTTTGTAAGAAAATTTCGACTTTCCCTGACTATTCCCTGATTTTTGGAGATAAAATAAAATTCCCGGACAATTCCATGTTTTCCCTGTTCTCCCTGACCCATGGAAGCCCTGCCAGATATCATGAACACTCGGTTGTTGTGAACATTTTGTCTGAACTGTTTTTTAACTAATGTTGTTTCATATGCTTATAGTAAACAGCTAAAAATTCATTGAATGAATTTTTTCAAATTTTATTTTTATAGGTATTTAAATAAATGTTGCATACATTTTTAGTCCATATGGCTACTTAGAAAGTATAAAATTATGATTTTCAATTAAAAATTAAGTAATACACATTATAAAGAAATGTTTAATATGAGTATTAAAAAAAAGCATGCAGTTCCAAAAACATGCTCATGTGAGGGCAAACCGATTGCACAGAAATTTAAACTTTCTAATGCAACTTTTTCAAAAACAGCAGAAATGAAAAAAAGATAAACATATAAAAAATTCCAAAAATAGCATAAATTGAGAAGATAAATGTCTAAAAAATTCATTTTAATGAGACAATCACTTCTTTATATGGATAATATTTTGAATGTTATAAAACGTTTTGATTAAAATGTTTGTTATAGGAAGATATTTGCAATAAAGAAAGACTCTTCATACTTAGTAAGTTAATAACTCATAAACAAATTGCATATTATTACAATCACATTTTCAACAGTTCTACTGCAATACGCTAAAAAATATTTTTCATAGATTTTGGATATATTGATTGTTTATAGTGGACTTATTGCTAGGCCCACAGAAGGTTGACAATAGCAAGTGCCAAATGTATCACTTACCAAATTTATATCCATGTCGAAATCTTTGGGACAAGTTACAAAAATGGTTCGTTGCATGAGACCAACAAAACACCAAAAAGCCTCAGATTCATCTTGAACAGCAGCCAGGATGGGAGCAAGTAAATCAGACATCCCTTGGGTATATCCAATTTTTGGATTATAAAAACCATAGTTTAACAAAATGTTTCTAAAACAACAGAAAAATAATAAGGCAACATTAGTAGTAGCATCCAATACATTGACCATAACTTATAAATAACTTGATTATAAAATCAGCTACTTTTTAAAATCAAATATGCAAGAACAGAATCACTACAATAGCAAAACATGTTAAAACCATCCTTTAATGGAATCATGATTTCTATTTTATAAAATCAAGCTTTTGGTACACATATGCTTAAACCAATTCAGCGTAAATTTTATTTTTACAAATCTTCCACAAAGTGTGGAATTTAAAAAAAAAAAACATTTTTAATTTAAGACCACCAAAGATAGTTATGATAAAAATTTGATTATTAATTACAAAAACATAATGATTAATATGAAAAGCAAAGCAAATTTTCTTTACTTGTCCTAGTTTGAATTAAAATTTCTGAATTGTGAGTTAGAATAGTTCGATAAAAAATAAATAACTTTTTTAGGAATTATAATAATCTGGCTTAGATTACAGTAAAAATTAAACTCAATACTAAAAAACAAACAAAAAATTTTATACAAGCCATTGAATACTAATAGACATCAAATCAACTAAAGAAAAAAACAAAACAGTTTAAAAAACATTGTGTTTTGGAAATTGCTAGCAATCAATTTTTTTTTTTAATCTAACAAAATTACTGATTATGAATGCAAAAAATATTAATAAAAAATTTACTTCATAGTCTCTATGTTTGGATTATCCTCTCCAGCAAAAAATGGATGATTCCTGTCAGTTCTAATAGCATCTTTCTCAACAGTACACTGAATATTTCTCCAAAATGTATCAAGCTCAGTAGGACTCATTTGATCTCTGCGTGAATAAAATATTCATAAGCAAATCATTAAAAATGCATACATTCCATTTTCACGATCACAAATCAAAACAATTAGTCATATCTACAATTTGTATTATTGTTGGAAAACATTTAGAATAAGCTAAAATATTTTACTCACATTTTTGTAAATAAAACTATAAAATATTTAAGAGAGCTTTCAGACAAAAATGGCAATCCCTTCACAACTTAATTTTACATACAATTTTAAATTACGTTATCATTTAAGCGCTACATAACAAATAGTTTATACACTGGTTTTAAAATTTCTAAAAATCTATATGTAAAACAAACACCATGAAATTAAACAAAAGTAAGTGATCATTCAATTACATTTTAAATTTTCTTTTTAAATCCTCAATAATTGTTGTACAGTAGGGAATAAATGAATAATGACAATCAAAATTAATATATACCATGTTTATTTTTCTTTTCAACCTTTTTCAATTTCAATTGTCAAAATGCTATGTTTTTTTTTTCTTCTTTATGATACATTTATCTATAATTGCTATCAATTTTGAAAGTACACAGAACTTGATTGCAACACAGAACCAAAAAAAAAAAATTATAAATAATGCTTTTCACAGACTTAGACCCAGAGCATAACTTAGTGAAGTACATATTTAATACAAATATTTTTAACATAATTAGTGCATTTATTGTTACTCACTTGTTCAGTATGAACTTCAATGTATTTTCACTTAGTTCAAAAAATAAAACCTTCAACTCTCTAGTGATTACAACACAAAGAGCTGTATTTTGACATGTGAAATAAATCTAATTTTCTCATGTTATTTTATAAAGAAAATTATTAGGGAAAAATAATTTCCAAAATATAAGTCCATGTGAGGATAAATGCACTTGAAATTCAGTTCAAAGAAGAACTCAGCTACTTTGGGCTCAACACACTACTTTTTGTTATCTAATCCAATGGAAAAATATGACTAAATACGAAATATTTCAATAAAAAGTATGTTAAAAATTGAAGCTTGAATGTTAAAAGATTATATGAGAGTAAATTAACATGTTAAGAAGCAATTTAGCCACAATAAAGCCTTCTATCAGATTTATCAATAAATAGATGCTGCAGTCATTAAGAACAAAGACTTTTTATTTTAGAATCTTCATTATTATTTTATTCACAACTGCCTATTCTGATTTAATTAATTCTTGTTATATAATACATATAACAAGAAGAAAACTTTATATATATTTCTATAAGAAGAAAAAAACTTTATATCAAAAAATATGAATGTAGTAATTAAAAGCCACAAAATTTGTTTATACTTCTATTAGTTCAAAAGAGGAGCATGTCAAGTTTATATGTAAAAGGTGTTCAATAAAGACAGCCCTTAATAACTTTCTTTAGAATCCATAGTAGAAATGAAAAAAAGTATACATATTAGGGGCAAATTAATATTTAAGTGAGGTAAAACAAAAATACTATTCAAATCTATCGAATCATAGTACAGGATTCAGATGTAATAAAGAAAAGGACAGATTTAATTGTGATAGAAAACTGAGAAGAGTTTGGAAAGATTATTAGAAACACCATCAAGTGTAAAGCTCTAATTAAACCTTGATCTTTATTACATCCTACAATTTATCAGATTTCAATAGTATTTTTGCTTTTCTTAACTTAAATATTAATTTGAGACCCCATTGTGTAAGCTTTCTTGATCCCATTTTTGATACAGATTCTAGAAATGTATATTAAGGGTATACAAATAAATTTAAGAACAAGAATAATTTTATTAAAATTAAAATATTTAAACTGCTTCGTAATTTACTTTAAGCAATAAGACAAAAATGTGCTGTCTTCATTAACATTTAATATCCAGAAAAAGCATCCAAGCATTCCTTAGAAGTAAAATAAAGCAACCAACTAAATAATTAAAATTAATTTCATAAATTCAATGGGAAATAAAAAAAGAAAACAATGTCTAATTTATAGTTAAAAGTCTTACCATAGCAGAATTCCATAGGAAAAAAATAGCTGAAATTTTTTTGGTGGTTTGAAAAAAAAAAACTTTTTTGCAGCCTCTAGCATTAGAGTGGAAGCTATACTTCCCTACAATCCACAATAATTTGATCGTAATATTTATTATGTATTGTACTTTATTCAAATTTATATTATCAACAGTTTAAAAAAAATACACTTTAAAGCCTACCTCAATATTATTTTATAAACATGAAATAATATATATTAAAGAAGAATGAAATATAATTATATTTATAAAAGTTTTGAAATAATACTTCTTGAAGTACTAAATTTCCTGCAAATAAAATATAATATATTCTAAATAAGATATTCTAAATGTATACAAAGATGTAACATGCATATAACAGATATACACAAAGATATTTCAAATACCACTAATAAGTTTAATTTAAAAGTGTTTAGAATTATTGAAAAGTTGCCTACCTCTTTCTCCTAATGTTCTGATATTCAATGTATTTATCGTTTCTAATTTGTTCTCTTTCATCAAACGTGGAACTAAAGTTATAATAATGCAATAAAAATGGCCACACTTCTTTCCTGAGTTTGCAGTCTAGACCACCAAAAAATATCTCCTTCAAAAAGACGAAAATAAATGTATACACAGAAGCCAAATAGAGTAAGAAAGAAAAATAACATTAAATCTAACAATTTTATAGTAGTAACAGAGTGCCTTATCCCACCCTCAACAGCAGCACTAAACTTAAGAAAAGAACACAGATTCCTTTAAAGCTTATTTACTTTTCTTTAAACAATAATAATTAATTCAATTGACAATATTGACTAATACAGTATAGCACAGCTCATTATCATTATTACAACATTAGCGTGTTATCTCATATGTAGCAATGAAAGAGTTAGTCTACATGTTACTATCAAGGTATGCCTTAGGTAAAAAATGCATGTAAGTTTGTCATGCAATATAATGCCTGGGCAATAAATTAATCATTTAAAACTTTGCACAGCAATTTTAGGCATTTTATGGACATTCTAAACTGGATTTTGTTCTTTGAGATACATTATATTTTTTATATACTTTGGTCACAGAGCTTAAAAACTTATTCTTAAAAATAATTAACTGAAGCTATTGGAAAGAAGGGAGAGAATTTTAAAGCCAAATTATTAGTGTTAAGCATGAAATATAAATTGAATATTTTGAAATATTTTGAAAACATTTCTAATTTTTGCTGAGTTAAAAGCTAAACAAAATAAATATTATATTTTTGTATAAAGCTTAACACATGTAATGCGGATTTAATATTAAGTATTACATCTCAAATTAATAAAAATTACTGCAAATTATTTTGGGAGCATAACATGAATATTAACAGATACAACAAAAATTTATTTTAAAAAATTAGCAAAAATAAATTAGTGTAATATTATTTGTTAGCTATAATGATACCTGTAACATTAATTAAAAAATAAGATGTTAAAGCACAAACATCTTTATTACATCTTTAGGCAAACTGAACTGGGAGTTAGACAACAAACTGGGAGTTAGCTCACAAGGTGTATAAGTGCTTACAAGGTACTATAAGTTACTTAAATAGTTAAAGTTTGATATAATTGATAAAATTTAACAAATATGATACGGAATAAGTTAACTGGCACTTAAAATCATATTTTAATCTCAATTTTTTTTAAAAAATAGGTGTTTCTTTAAAATTAAAATAAGAAGTCTCAAAATTTTATTTCTGAAAAAATATTGATGCATTCACCGGTGTTAGAAAATACATTTTAATAACTTATTTCAGGTTAAAATTTTAAAAAAATTTAAAACAGCAAAACAAAACAAAAAACTTTTTAAAAAAAAGAGTTTAAATTTTACAAACCAAAAATTAAATTTTTATTTGCAATAAAAAAATAAGTTTTATTACTAATCTGTAAATTTTAATAATCTTCAATAGTCACATTAAATACATATTTTTCACATAACTTTATTACTGCATTTATGCATCAAAAATAAGCATGATTGGTGATAATTCAAAAATAGCTTCATAGTAAAGAAAGCGTTAAAAAAATTATAAAGCTAAAAGTAAAAATTGAGAAACATTACAAAAAAATTCAAAAAAAGAAATGTCACAACTGTTATAAGATATAAAATATATAAAGGATAAATCTGCATAAAAAGATTAGAAATCAAATAAAATAATTCATCTTCAAAAACTTAAATATTTCAAATTTAAACTAAAAACAAAATGTTACTTTTCGTAGTTGCAATTCATCTTCTATGCTACCATCTTCACTCATAAAGCTTCGCCATCTTTGCTCATCTACCATTGAATAAATACCTTCTTCAGGATGACACTCAGCTGCAGAAAGCTCTGGGCGACAAACAGAAAATTGTCGATAGGGGCAGTTATCAGTTCCCTAAAATATAAATGAGATAATTTTATCCTTAAAATGCTTTTTTTTTTAGAATTAAAAATTAACATCTAAATATAAAATGCCACGTTGACCATAGTAGATGAAAAGTAAATAATAATCAATCATTTAGAAACTAAGTTATAGAACAAAATACAAAGTAATTAAAGTGAAATATATATTTGAAATTTTTAATTTTTACAAAGGATTGCTGTAAATCTTATTGATACTATTTTTTTAAGTTATAAACACAGTTCTATTGCAAAACTATTTTACTCTAAATTAATTTTGCTTCTGATTTTATACATTCATGAACAATCTTAGAACTAAAATAAAATATCTTCATATAAATTTCTGATAAACATAAAACTTTATAAACAAAATTTTTAATTAAAAATTGTTTTTTGATAGTTTTCAAATTATATGAAAAATAGTGGTATGTAAGGTCTAGAAACTTTTTAAATATGCAAAGATTGCAATACTTTGATCCTTTATTGCAGTTTGTTTCAAATTGCGTTTGATTGTTTGAATTATTCAAATAATACATGACAAAATTAGTTGATAGGCCTAAATAAAATTTGCAATGCTACATCAAAAAAGTATTTCATTTTAAAAACAGATCAAAATCCTGTAAACAGTTGACCTACATTATTACCTTAAAATAAATGCTATTTCTCTAAAAAGGGAATCCATATATAGAGAAACTCCCCTAAAAAGGGAATTAATCAGTCCTGAAATCAATATATAAGTATGACTCTAGTATAAGTCATAAATTTTAGTAGAACATAAAATGCCCAACATTTCCAACAGAATATTTTAAAATTCTAAATTTAAAGCTAAAAGGAAAATAAACAAAATGATCTTCAAGGGGAGAATAGCATTAACATCAAAACAGTCTTGAAATGATCATTGAGATATTGAGTCAATGACTTAGTCATTGAGCTAAAAGGCTGTTAAATCTCATTGAAATAAACTTTTACAACAGTAAAATAATAGAAAATATGTCTTGCATGAGCCATTAAAAAGAATCAATATTATTTTGAAAACAAATTACGGTGTTAAAAAGGAACAAAACAATAATAAAAGATTAACTTACACCCAATATTATTTATTCTTTTAACATTTCTAACCAATGTAGTAATTTAAATATCATTCAACTGATAATATAACAAAAAAATCTTTTTTATATATAATTACTTTGTTTTTAGATTTAGAAAGAAAGTTATACTCTTCAAAAACTTTGGCTAATTTTTCAAGGCCACCATGATGAAAATGCAGTATTTTGTACTGGCTTTCTCTACTAGCTATGACTAGTTGACCACATGTGCATTCTTTATTGCTGTAAAATAGTCTTAATGAACGCATTTGACCTAATAAAAGAAACAAAATATAAGTTATAGAAAGAAATAATACTAATGTAAAGAAAGCAATAATGCAACAGTACAGTTATAGCTCATTAGGATGAGAAATATTAACATGAGAAATTAAAAAAAGAATATAAATCATAACTATAATTCAGTTTTTTAAATATAAAAATACATTAACATGCTTTTGAAATAAATATATGTATGCTAGTTGTGATTTATGAAATGACTGGTATTTTTAGGCAAAATAGGATAAGAGTTATTTACAAGGGCTTTTTTTTAAATAAGGGCAATATTGTTGTGTTCACTAATAGGTGAAGTGTGGGTCGCAATGAGTGCTTGCATCGTGTCTTGACATTCCTTGGAAACAACTGTGCTCGGTTACATCTGTGTAGGTAACCAGCAGATCAGCTGTGCGTCTCTAAAATGTTCGAGTTTAACAAATCGGCCACCCCATATGAGGTATGAATAAGTGATGCATTTTTAGTCGGCAAAAAACCTGTCAGCTGCATACATTCACCGGCAGATTTCTGAAGTTTACGAAGCCTCCTATTGGCATGCTGACAGGAAATGTTGCTACTCCAGGACAATGACTCTCTCCACAGCTCAGTCAAGAGCTTTATTAGACTACTTTCAGTTGGGAAATTTTGCCCCAACCCTCAATACTGCCCAGATCTTGCGCTAAGTGATTTTCCTCTTTTTTGATGTTTCAAACATCATTCTGGAAGCAACCAGTACAATGATGACAAAGATATGAAAATGGTCATGATCTCCTAAGAGCAGGTGGTAAGTTTATATAAAGAGGGTATTCTAAATCTAGTTGTAAGGTATGATAAGTGTTAAAGCAAACTAGGCAACTATTCAGAAAAAAAGAGAAATGTATGTAGAATCAAAAAATAAACGTGATTACTTAAAAAAACAGCCCTCGTATATACTTTTACTGTTATTGACCAATGCCTGTTTAGGCAGAGGAGTGTGATTGTTCTTGTTTTCTAGAGGCCCCATCTATGGCTAAGAATTCGACTTTTGCCACACCCATTTATAGGGCGGACCCATTCATACATCCATTCATTCATCCACAGATCGTAATTTTGACCTGAATCAGAGAACGATCGATCTCCAATCCAGTACCCTCAGAGGTATTGATCTGTTATGGGAACATGGAGGATTTTGCAACTCGACAGATTTAACGTGCATCAGTCTCCATTTACTTTTTGGGGAGTCTTTAGCTGAGGGGGTTCGAACCCACGAATTCTCGGACATGAGCCCAGCATCCTACCGACCAGGCTATCCCTTTTACTAGACATTGAATGCATTACTTAGGCATTCTATGGAATGAAAAACCACCTTTAATGGACAATTAGTCACTTTTTCATTTTGTGATAAAGTGGAGTTACCTGTTAACTGAATTTACAACCAAAATATAAATATTTGCCCCAGTTTTATCTGAATTCAAAACAAATACAAGCCCCTTTAAGGCATGCTTGCTCCTTAATTAAAAAAAATTTATAAAATTTTTTAGTTCTTTAATATATTGTAAGATTTTCATTATCCACAATAATTAGTGCACAATATGTTACTCTTTGTCTAGTTCATTCTAGCAAAACAAAAAATATATTAATCTGAAATTAAATAATTTAATTTTTTAAAATTAAAATATTTTAAAAAATTTCCTTCTTTGTGTTAAATATGCTAAAAATCTATGTTTATGCATTTAAAAAATTAAGAAAAAAATCCCAAGAAAACATTTTAAAACGATAACTTAATTAACTAGATTCATTTAAATTATTCCTCATAAATTTATAGTGTGTTAGAAAAACAACTTGTAAATTAATATTAAAGTTTTTTTAAGAAAATATAAACATCTAATTATTTTCATAACTAGGCTATTTTTATTCCTAACTCATCTTAACAGTCAAAATCAGGGCTTACTTAGATCTACAGAGAAAACATTGCAGCTGCTTTCCCTCCTGGATATTTTGGCACTTGCAGAAGGAGAATCATCTGGAAAACTTAGATTGTGAGCATGAGCTAATGATTCAGCTGTTCCCTCTACAAATAAAAGCTTTGACATTTTATTTGTAGGAGAAGGTGGTGGTGTGTCACCAGGGGTGGAAGGAAAACTCTCTGGGTCTCTGTTTGATGTGGTAGGAGTTGTAGAACTACTTCTAGAACCTGTAGGACTGTATGAGCTAATATTTATTCCAGGTGCAGTTTGAGGATGTGAACTCTCTTTCATACCTAAAGTTAGGGATGTAAAAAAGGAAAGAAATATATTCTCATTTCACTAGGAACATCAATGCTTATAAATTTATCATTTTGTTATAGCATTTTAATTTACAGTAGGAAAAAAACCACAAATCTGACAATCGAACAGAAAAAAATTCCAAACATATAATTCAGAAAGGAAAAATTAAATTTTTTTATGAAATTTAATAAGTACTTAAAACTTTTAAAATTGGAATAAAACAATTATTTCACTTTTTTGATCTATAAAATAAATTTTAATTTAAACAATACTAATGAATTTATTAATTGTTTAGTGCAATTCTTTATTAGATAAGACTAGTTCCAAAAGAAAGATATGGCAGTTATTATTTAATAAATTGGAATCCCTTAAAGCTTTCATTCCAGATGTCATTAATAGATGACGTAATAAAAATTTTACAGAAAAATATAAGACTCATAAAAAATTGAAAATTCTTAAAAAACAGGAACTGAATTTCTAAAAATTTAATGCTTTCTTTAAACAAGGTTAGTGCGGTCTTAATAAATTTTAAAAAAAGGTATCAAAAATAAAAAAATGAAGCATTTCAATAAATTTGAATACACAATACGCTTTATTTTTTGAAATAATTATCTAGTTGCAACATCTCAGGTTTTGTATCGTTAATTTTCTAGTGAAAGCTGAAAGAAATGTGTAGCTTTTTGAATGCAGTATTGCCACCATGCAACCAATTTTTTAATTTTTTTAGTACTGTACAAACCCTGTCAAATTACTCTTGTTCCTAGAATTCTTAAAAATAAAAGTACTTCAATTGTTCAATTGAACATAAATTTATTATACAAAGCTCAAATAGAATATGATGTACCAAGAAGAAAAGTTCAAATAAAAACTATGCTTGAAAGTGAAAGTCAATATAGATATTTTATTTTATAACTTACAGCAGCTCTTCTGGGAACTTTTTAAATCTTAACCTTTTAACTGTTAAGTTAAAAAAAAAATTACGAAAATTCCTCCACCAAGCATAAGTTTCTCTTTTAAAAACATGAAGAAAAACAGGTTTGTTGAGTGGAAAAGTAACCAAGTTCTATCCCAAATGATGTTTAAAATTAGATAATTAAAATGTACTTTTAAAAATTAGAACAGATAGGTAAGATTCAATTATATAATCTTCACAAATGACTATAATGATAAAAAAATAACACTTTAGTATACATATTATTTAAATTAACAGGGAACTTAAAAAAGGAAAAAGTTAAATTTAAATCTCATTAGATAAATTAATCAGAAGATTAATGTTATTTCCAAGGAATCAACAATCATTAAAATCAGCTGGTCACAAGAGGAAAAAGAATTATTTTTTTTTTAAAAAAGAAATGAAAAATTCTTACGTTCACAATGAAAAAATATACAAAAAGAGTAATATTACCTTCGTTTAAATTATCAGATAGAATAAGTTGCATATCTGCCCTATTTTCTTTAGGGTAGTGAAGGTTTTCTTGTGCTAAAGGAGTTACTTCAGTATTTTCAAGAATTTGATCATTGCTTGCAGATATTTCAGCTTCTTCTACTTGTACGACATTTTCAAGAGTATCATTGATTTCATTTCCTAATTCTGAAAAAAATAAAAAGCATAATTAAATTTGAAATAAATAAAATTTTAATTAGATGTCCCACAGAAAATAACTATATTTGTCTCAGTAACAATATTAACTTAACTTTGAAACTTTAAAAAAATGTAGTGTTATTATTTTAAAAAATAAAGCAAAAATAACAATACACAACCATGTAACAATTAGTAAACCAAGCAATGTATCCAATAAACAACATTTAACCTTTTCTTCAAAGTTTGAGCATGAACTATTTCTTCTTAAACATGGGATGAATTTAGTGGATGAGAAACTGAGTGTAAATAACAACATAATTTTAAATCCGGAAAGCAATTTTGAAAACTTCAAATATATCCTTTTTCTTATGTTATGTTGATGAAACAACATGTGAACCAGCTTGATATTTTAGAAAGTTTTATTTAAGACTTGAATATAAATTTATATGTAATTTTACTATTCATAAGATATTTCAGTAATCTATAAATTTTAAAAGATTGTGAACCACAAACTGATCTAAAGAAATTAATATCAGCACATAAAAGAAGTATAAGAGTTGCTATGTTTAAAGCCATATCTTCATTTTTTTACGTATCCACTAAGATCTTACTTACAGAATGGGAAATAACACAAGTCAATTGTAAACAATATAACAATATGGTTTAATTTTAAGCTAAAGCATGAAAATATATTGGAAGTAGTAACCCAGAAGTCTTTCATTACAAATTTTACCACTGGGGCTTATCTATATATGCTTCTCCATAAGTAAACAAAAAAGTTCAACTAGAGTGAAAAAAAATCAAGCAAAATGTACCTTGTTTAGAGCTATCAATATCATTAAGGCCACATATCATTTTCTCAAGAGCTGCAATAACTTCTTCTGGTCCTATTCCAGAATCAGTCTGACTTTGATGGTCACCATTATTACTGGAAGAAACTTTTGACTTCTCAGGTTCTTGATCAGCTTTAGATTCATATGATGGTGGTTCATAGCTATCCAACTCTGTAATGTCACCAGACATTATTTGGGAACTGGTAGAAGCAGTCATTTCTTCTGTATGATCACTGTTAGAAAAACTCTCCAAGCTTCCAAAATCTTCGCGTGGACTTCCCATATCAGATATGGTTGAGCTTATACTTCTTCTATCTGAATTATCAACCCTGCAAAAGAAAAATATACAAAAGTAAATGAAAATTTCTAACTATTTTTACACCATTTTAAATTATGTAATTTTAAGTAACAAAATACAAAGTTTAAACAAAATAATTTAAATACTCCGTGTAAATTTGAATAAAATGCCGGCCAGGTGGCCGAGTGGTTAGCGTGCCTGACTGCGAAGCCAATGACTGCGAGTTCGAATCTCGTTCTGGGCATGGATGTTTCTCTCTCTCTGTGTTGTCTTCTGATGTGTGAATGTATGAATGTGGCACACCCTATGAATGGGTATTTGTGGCAGTGTGGCGTGGGTAATGTTGCTCGCCTCCGTGACTTTGGTTCACAGGTGCCCACTGGGTAACGATAAATGAGCAACACTTACGGCGTCTTCTAAGGCGAAGAACGAAAGTTCAGTGCCTGCCATTATTTAAAAAAAAGAAAAAATTTGAATAAAATTGTTTATATTTTTACCAGAAATCAGTACTTACATCTTTCTTGCATGTTCCAATTCCCATCCAAAACATAACATTATCCTACTCAAACAAATGTTCATAATTTAATCTAGTGGTAACATGAATTCCAAACATAAAATTTTCAAAAAAAAAAGTAAAGAGTAAAATTTGATGTATTTAATTAGGAATTTAACAATAATAAAAAAAAAAGAAAACTTAATTAAATTGAACCAAAAAATACATAAATTGAAAATAATGTAAAATAATATTCTTTGGTTGAATATTCAGACAATAATTCTTGAGCACAGTTAATATGTTAGTAATGTTTATATGTCAGCTATAATATAATCTTCATTATAAAATGGCAGTAATTTACCAATAAAATTCCTGTTTTATATAAAATAAAGTTTATTCTTCTATTTTAAATTTAACTTCTTGAAAATTTATAAAGGGGTGAAATAACTCTCTAAAAAATTAATTTTGGCTAACATTGATACTATTATGACATTTTTTAAATGTTCAGCTAGAATAAATATTAAAAAACAATTTTTGATAATTCTTATGCATGAATGAACATAAATATTCATCAAAAAAAGATAAATTATTTCCAATCTATGTTTTGATTAAAATATTCTGTTAAGAAAATTTCTATCTAATACAACACAAACAAATTAAAGTAAATATTCTCAAAAACTTACCCTGAAAATGGCAAGCAAGGTAAATCAGTTGAATCACCCTTTGACTTTTCACTCATGGCATTCAAAGAATAATTACTTGACAAAGATAAATGAAAAGGTGACCTCCCACTGGGAGTAGGACTAGGGCATTTACTACTAAATGAACTACGACAAGGAGAGCTTTCGGGAGTCTTGTTTTCCAAGCTGCGTGGATTCTTTTTCAGAGTAGCATTAGGTATCCAAGTCAATATTAATGTTGAGCCAAGTATCTGAAATCAATATCATATTAAAAAAAAAAATCAAAGGAAATATTATATAACATTCAAGTGTGTTTTCTTTTCTTACTTTTATCCGATACTACTAAAATATTTTAAAATTTAACATTTAAAAGACAATGTTTTTAATAAAAAATTCAGCAAGTAGGTTTTATTTGAAAACTAATTTAAAAAGGGAATAAAAAACATTATGATATTCAATACATAGTAAGCTATGATATAGCGTTTTAAATTTGAAATATTAAAAATTTAAAATTAATCAACATAAAAAAAGCAAAATTCAAAAATAGAATGTCAGTAATAAAAAAGTGGAATTTAAAAAATAGAATAAAAAAATAGTTGGGAAAAAATATTCAATTTACATTTTAAGACAGGTGGTATATTTGTAAACATTTTTAAGAAACTAAATAAAAATAGATTTCTGATGAAAAAAAATTTAATTATTAAATCTAAAATGTGAAAAAAGTACCCAAAACATGTTTAGGAAATAAAACAACTTATTTATTTGTTTAATAATCAGCAGTGCCAACTTTCCAAACTAGTTATCAGTAATCAGAAGTACAACAATTAGGGAATATATACAGTTAGCTTTTACAAAATTCAAATTAGCGCAATTTTAAGACGTATAATACTACTTGTTCTATAAAGACAAATAATATTAATAAAATTATGCATGAATTAACTATTAAATTTTTTAAAAAAATTTTACATAGAGGAACTAAATTTTAAAATACACAATATTGAAATTTTATTCTTCATTATAAAATTAAATTGGTTACTTAGTATCATGTTCTACTTTTTAGTTGTATCAGAACTAGCCTTTATTACCTTTTCGTTGTTCTGCATTTGAACCACTAGAAATTTTGCTTTTAGCTCATCAGATTTGAAAATATGTTCTTTTGCTTTTCTTATTAGAAGAGAAGATTAAGTTTTATCCCTTTCTTTTTATTTCTTGTTTTGATCAAATGATTTTTGTTTTATAATCATTGTTTAAGAAGTAGAAAAACATTGTAAATTAGCTGCAAACAATATTTCGTAGCTCATGATAGTTTAGAGAGGAAAACCTTATTGTAAACAAATTATAACGAAAATTTTCAAAAATAGCAATTATATAACTCATCTGTAAGACCATAATCTTGATTATAAAAATTTAATAATTATGGATAAATGTAAGAGCTGTCTCCTTTGAATAATTAAGAAGAAAAAATTGAAATAATATGACACATGCATTTAAAATAATTACTACTATAAAACTTAATCCACTAATTATAAGACAATTATTTCAAGTCAGCATACCTCATCATTTTGCTCTCGTATGGTTAAATAACCAGGGTGGTGAACGACTTCTGTCCTCAACATTGATGGAGGATGAACACAAACATTATTTTTACAAAATGTAACTTCTCCAGCCAAGTTTGATTTCTGTGGAGAAGCATCTAATCCACCTATCTTTAGCAGACTTGAAGCCTTTCTTAGCAATGAGTTAAATGTACTCATTGTCTCACCTAAAGTAAAAGTTTAGTTTGTAAAATCTGAAATATAAATAATTGTACGAAATCAAACTTTTTACAACCAATTCACATTTTACATAGATAATCAAATTCCCTTTATAAATTTAAAATTTATAACTTCAAGAAAATGGATTACACTTTACAAAAGGTCTTTTGTGAAAGAAAACAAAGAGTTAGATAGGTAATAAAAATCTAATTGAAGTATTTTCATTTTGAGCTAAACTAAAAATATCTTATGTTTTTCATATTATGATGATAGAGCTGACTAAAAGTTCCAAAAGTCAGTTTACTATTTCGTTATCAAAAAAAGCTCTGAGTTATTTTTATTTCTCCATTAATTATGCTTAAAATAATTATCTTTCTTCATTAATCAAAATTATATATACATTTTTGAAGTCTAAATATGTAAAACAAGAGAGATTTAATAGAACAAAAATAACTTTGAACTACAAAAAAAAAAAAAAAAAANAAAAAAAAAAAAAAAATAGTGCACTAAGACATAGTTGTACTTAAAACAAATTGTGATGATAAATTAAATTTTTGAATTGATCGAATAATAGCTTTCAACCGACTATGTGCAATAATATATATTAAAAATACTTCAAAATATTTTCCTATTCAATTTTACACAATAGTTGAATTAAAATTACAAGTGTTTTAATATGTTTCATTATTTTTATAATTTTAGAAAGTCAAAAAGTTATATGTATATACTTTGTAAAATTCTTGAACGTTTCAAAAAGTTATTACATGTAACTTTGTACATGTAATGTAGAAGTTCCTATATACTTCATATATACTCACTAAAAGTTATATGATATACTTTGTTTAGGTTGTTTTTTAGCAGAACACTAAATCTTGTATAATACAGCTGACACACGCATTAGTTCAGACAATTATTTTTTTGTTAGAAATTATAAAGCATTAGACAAAGTATACAAATCCTTGTGCCGTTTTTACAGTGTTTTCAACAAAACTAATATATAAAAATTACTTTAAATATTATAGTTTCTTTAGTATTTCACTATTTTCTTTCTGTTTTGGTAAAGAATTCCAACATTATTCCAGACATTAAATCTTTTGAATTATCTCTTAAAATACATTTAATAAAATAAAAGAATAAGTGCACACTAAAAAATCGAAAAACTTCAACAATACAATACTAAACATTTGATGAAAATAAAAATTTTGCATAAGTACGTAATTAGGAAATTTAATGAGGTATTTGTCAGCCTTATTTAATCATTTTATATTACTTCAAGATTAATTGTTACTTTCAATCATTGATATATCAACCATAACAATAAACATATGTTCAGTTAATAACAAAAATGCACTCCGCACATAATAAGAATTATTAAGGATAATTAACAGTTCCTACTTTTTAAAAACCTTAGAACTAAAATCTTCAATCCTCACATTTTGCTGTAAATTTAAAAGATAATTTTATCCAAAAATTATTCGAAGGGTCAATAAACTACTTAAATTTTTCTACACCGAAACATGACATTTCTGTTTTCTGCTAGCATTTACTTTCATTTTTCTTGTATCGATAAAAGAAACGATATAAATTTAAAATCTTTATCTGAATCTTAAATTTAAAAAAATACTCTTTTTCTTCTAAATCTTCCTGCAATATTTTAACATTTTTCACTCATAGTAATTTAATAATAAATGGTGGTTAATAATTTAATTTTTATTTATGATTGATTAGAAATTTTTGTTTCTGCCAATCTCTGTCAACTTTAACTGCAATTGTGAATCTCTGCAACTTGTAAACAAAAACAGTGAAGTATTGGGCATGGAATTGTAAACTTTTGTTCTTATTGTCTGTAGGTTGAAATTAATTAGTTATATAGCTATTAATTAGTTATGTATGTGCGACAAATAATCCTTATCATTTAATATTTCTATATAAAATGTTATATTCGTTTCTGAAATTTATTTATGTAATATTATTTATACATGTAGAATATTATACCTACATGTTATTTATGTACATTAGAAATAAAAGCTATTTATGCTTTTATTTCTAATTTGAAATTGCTATTTCTATATTTTTTAGAAGAAAATAAATGATTAATGATAATATATGATTATCATTATGATAAATTTAATATCAAATATATAAATTAATCTATATCGGTTCTTTGTCGCATTATTTCAATTAATTTTAGTTTTAATTACAATCCTCAAATTAATAAATTAATATAAGAAACTTATTCCATATTTATTCATTTTACACCATAATTGGATATAATACCGTATCGTGATCTGTCGTGCCAACTACAATCGCCAAGACGTCAAATCGATTTTAAACTTGCAAATTTAAAAGAGAAAAAAAAAAAACGTGTAGATGTTTACCCGGAGGTGGCTACGAGTTATACCTTTCGAGTTGGCCCCTTTTTGTGATTTTATTTTTTTAGTTGAATTTTGTGATTTGATTTTATTAGCTGCCCGGAAATTGCCAAGACTTGCGATTAATCGCTGCTACAGATCATGATATGGAAATCTCCCCCCTTTAACTGAATAAAACATTTATCTTTGTTTTAAAAATTTTCAAGACTTAAGTTTTCAATGCGAAACTTTTAGTTTAAAAGTGTATTTAATTAAAAAATGAAACTTGAAGTGGTAATTCGCTTATGTCCTTACTTTTTCTACATGAACATGAATCCTGGAAAAAAACTATGTAATTGTGATCAAAATGGGCTTCAAGTGGTGCATAGTAGAACTCTTATCTATGGCAATACTAGGCATGCTTTCACCATTAGTGTGTGGATAATCATAGGAGTAGGAAGTATGTTAGTTTCTGTCTTGATTTTCAAACTGATTAAATCATTTTCAACTTGGAAGCTATGGAACTTAAAACTGCATTAAACACAGTGCTTAATATTGAAAGATTACTGTATCTTGATCTGTGGCAACACTAGGTATGCTTTCTCCATTAGTGAAAGGATAGTCATAAGAGTAGGAAGAATGTTAGTTTCTGTCTTGATTTTCAAACTGATTAAAAAATTTTCAGCTTGAAAACTATATGGAACTTAAAACTGCATTGAGCTCAGCACATAATTTACGAAGATTTCTGTATTGTGATCTGTGACAGAATAATCGCCAAGTCTCGGCAACTTCCTGTCGTCAGACCATGAGAAACTAAAAAAACACATTGCAGAAAGGTATAACTTGTAGTCACTGCGGAGCAATATATTTTTTATAAAGGTTTCCCTTTTAAAACCAATTTGGCACCTTGGTGATTGTAGTTGGCATGGCAGACCACAATACGGAAATATCCCCCGTAATTTTAGCATCATCGGAATTATAAAATGTTTTTAAAGCTAAATGCAAAGAATATTATGGAAGTGAAAATCATCCTCATAGATTTTCATACATATGAGCAGAGTCGGAGAGAAAAGCTCTAAACATGGATGGTGTAAGGAATTCTCCCGAGGTGACGTATTATAGAGTTGAGATCGTGGTTTGCTAACTATTACTCCGTTTGCAAAATATTTCATAGAATGGTGGACAATTAAACACTAAAGCTATCTGAAATTTTGGTAATTTTGCCAACATTTTAAAAACCTCACCAAGTCAAGTGAAAGCTATAACAAAGTTGCATTTTGCATTACAAAAAAAGGAATCATGTATAATACATAAAAATAAAAAAAATCAATCTAGAATTCCTCATTTGAACAAATTTTCTCAAAAACCATAGAACATTGGCACCCTGTGTTTAGTATCATTTATCTAATTTTGGTAATTTCTAAGATATGTTTTATCTTACGATAATAAAATTTCATTTAAAATAATAATTTAACCTGAAATATTGACAGATAGGTTTTTTTATTCCCTCTCCTAAACATTATTCATATATATTAATTATTGAAAGGTTGCATTACAAAAAGAATTTTTGTGCATATGTTTAGATTTAGGCATAGTTTTAAGTAAGCAGCAGATGTTTTTTCCTTTCAATTATGTAAAACATAATGTTTGTTAGCTTACACCTCTGTATAATCAAAAAACCAAGTTTATTGCACTTCTTTAATATTTTTTATTTACTATATCAGATAACTGTACATATTTTATTTTTAGAAAATAAATTTTTTGTTGAAAACATTTTATGTGAAAAAACATGGGGAAAATAACTGACAAGAAGCACAGACTTCATACTGCTGCTCCTAAGACTTTGACTGACAATGAAGTACTGCATGTAACACGGAATCAGTGGTCTCAACAAAGTGGAATAGTAAGTAAAAATGTTTTTTTATAACATATTTTTAAGTAATAAGTATTATAGAAAATTATGTTAGGTGAGATGGAATATTCATAAATGATTTATTTTGCAAAAAATAAAAAAAATTTAATTTTGCATTTATTACAAATGCAAATAATTGCCTAAAACTTAGATTTTTCTGGGGTGATTGTATTCTGTTTGTATCCCGAAATTCCAGGTTTTCTGTATCAGTCTTCCAGGTTTAATAACTAGAAGCAGGGCATGTGATTTTTCCATGAATATCTCAGAATTCTGTGTATCTCAAGACCATTGATTTGCAGACTTCTGTGAATCAAAAAATTATCCGACAAAATTTTGCAGATTTAATTCTTTTGATTTAGCTGCTTTTCGCCATTTTGAATATTTGACACTGCTTTGGAATCTGCTAATATCACGCTTTCAATTATCAAACATTGTTTTCGTTTTTCCCTAATTCAAAAGTTACGCATTGTGATCCATATTCACACACTTATAAAATAAACCCATTATCGAGATTCTTATTTATTCGAGTTTAAAATCCAATGTTGTAATTCATATTTGCTTGTTTTTAAAATCCAATATTGCATGTATGTCAAATATCAATGTTGTAATATCAAACATTGATTTTCATATATATATATGTGATCTAAAAATTATGCATGGTAATTCATATTTATGCTGTTTAAAAGTTGAATATCGCAATTTTTACCTTTGCTTTTTTTTTTAAATCTCGTATTCACGATACACATTTGCTTGATTTTAAAATCCAATATCGCGATTCTTGTAAGAAGTAAGTTTTTTATTGAATAAATTACTATAAAAGAGTGATATATTCTTTAATTGCAGCTAATTTAGTTGTAAATGTAAGCTCAACAATTTAGGTTACATATAAAACATGTATGGTATATAAATTGATATCGAATTTTTGACATAAAAGTTTCAGGATTTTTCACTTTTTATCACATTCACCCCTGATTTTATGTCATATTATAACAGTTTTTTTTAAATATTTTTTCAGCCAAGTGTCAGCACTAATATATTTAAGAACATACATATTCCACCCAGTGCACTTAAACAGCAACTTCAATCCTTTGCCACTCAAGATGCTGTAGAAGCCAAGCACGCTCATAGAAATGCGACTCTAGCGCTTGTTGCCTCTAAGCTAAGTGCACAAAAGAAGAAAGGAGCCAAGAGAGAACCTGTTCATAAAGGTTATTGAATATCTCTAAATTACATTCTTCTCATTACTGATTTGGCAGTCTTAGCCAACCTGAAGAACCTAATTTACAAACCATAAAATGTTAAAAAATTTTAAAAATTATTTCAATTAGTTTGAATTCTATCCTTTTCCTTCCATCAATCTTAAATTTCGGAGCTAAAATGTAAAAACAACAGTTTAAAAGAATGCAGGATAAGTTTTAAAAGAAAGTTGTATTCTGTATCAAATCTCTTTACTAGGGTTGTGGTGTCAGTGTCCAACCCACCACTTTGTAGAAACAAATTAATTTTTAAAAAAAACCTGGAATGCTTTCATAAACTATTTATTTTTTAAACAACTTTCAATTCATTGAGATTTCTTTCTTTATTAAGAAAAAAAGATTTAATCCATAACAAGTGTAATTTTAATATTTCCTAAAATTAAAGATGTCAATATAGTGAAAAAATTATGAAATTCATTTTTAAAGCGTAAGATAAAAATTTATATAAAACTTCTAAAATACTAATTCAAAAATCTACATATCTACTTAGCAAATACTATGCATAGCTTGTTGTGCTTTGTCTTTTAATTTTTTATATAATTTGATATTGTTTTTTATTCTTATTACACTAAAAAATAAAGATATTGATTCACTGCAGACCCATCAATCAAAAAAAAAGATTTTCTGCATTAGTTTTATAATCTTACTCGATGAAGAGCATAAGAAGTTTTTCCTGCTTTTGTATTTAATTCTATATTTTCACTAGTTATAAACGATTGGATTGAGTAAAAATGTAGTATGTAGAAATCATAATCAATGTTATGAATGAAATCATAATCAATGTATGTAGAAATCATAAACAATGTATGTAGAAATCATAATCAATGTATGTAGAAATCATAATCAATGTTCTATAATTTTTTTCCCCGTAACTGACAATAACGAAATAAACGAAAAAAATAATTTATAAATATTGTTAAAATAATGCCATAGTGTAGTTAAACATAACATAATTTCTGTTAATTTCTTTATTGTTTGGTAAAATGGAACTTTGAGTTTTAATTAGCTGTCTATTTTATTAAATTTAGTTTTTTATTCAATTAAATATTTCATACCACCACATTTATTACAAAAGTACCCAAAAAATACAAACTGATGAGCAGAGTTCTCCTTAGGAATAAAAAAGGGTGCTATAAGTTTTGAAAGAGCACTCATTCAACACTGTAAAAATTTATCAAAATGTGTAATACTATGTAATAACTGAATTTGATTCTCAAAAAATTTTAAATCACCCTCTTATACTATTTTATGTGTATGTTTCTAAAATAATTCTCTCTCATTATCTGAATGATAGAAAAATTTGCAGTTTATAAAAATATTAAAGACATGCTAATAGACAATCTCTGGACATAAATTTGTTTTAAAATAAGTAAACTAAAAATTTATAATCAATAAACTTTAGAGAATTTTACATAATTTAAACTGAAAATTATGAAAAAATAAACATTTGAAATTACATTTTTTTTAAAAAAAAAAAAGGAAGTTTTTTATTTTAAAAATTAAAACCATTAAAAAATTTATTCATATCTCCCCTTGAAAAAAAAGAGATACTTATAAAAATTTAACGAGTTGAGAATAATCCTAACATAATAGTAACTCCTAATAGTAATCAGAATTAAACCCATAAACACAAATAATTTTACCAGTGTACTTATTATTTAAACAATGAATTAATATTTTTAAAAGTAGAATATGTATTAAAAGGCAGTGTTTTTAAGGGATGGCAGCTTATTTTGACAAAACGTACGATGAAGAGTACATTCATATTGTACAAAGGGCAGGCAGGGCGGACAGCCCTTCTAAAAACGCTTAAGGTTGATGAGAACAACCTGTTCTAATTATGTTCCAATGCGGTTACAAAATGTCCCTATGGTATTACAAAATTTCTAACTTCATTAAACATCTGCTTATTCCCGCTAAAGAGACATTTACATAAACATTATTCTTTCGCCAATTCATTCTTTGGTTTGGCGAATTTTTGAATATTTGAGAATGTGCCGGAATCCGCTAATGTCGTGATTCCTATTCACCTGGTTTGAATATCAATCATCGATTTTCTTATCTACCTAATTCAATAGTTAATCATTGCTATTCGTATTCACATGATTTAAAAATCCAATGTCGCGATTTTAAAATCTAATATCGCAATTCATATTCATGCAATAGCTAAGATATTTCTTAAATTAGTTACACTAAAGGTGTGATATTCTTTATTGGTAGGTAATTTAATTATTATTATTTAAAAAATATTATGTTAAATACAAAACATGTATGATATATAAATTGATATCAATTATTTTCTGCACTTAAAATTTTCAGGGTTTTTCATTTTGGGTCACAATCACCCCTCTAAAAGGATAAGAAGTAAAAAAATAATTGAATTTACATGTGTCAGCAAAATAAATAAATACTAAAATGAGTTGAAAATTTTTTTAAGGGTTTTCATCTTACACTTAATTATTACAAATCTGAAATTGTAAAAAAAATTACATTATTATTGCAAAATGTTGTTATACAAGATGAAGTTGTTATACCAAAAAAAGGAACTTATCAAAATCAAGTATGTATTTTGTAATGACACTTATCCTTGTGCATAAATTTTATAAATACAGTGAAACTTGATTATTGCAAGCTCTGATTTGATTTGATCTTCAGTTTTTAATGTTAAGTAGCCTACATAAGACTTCATTACTAAGAGCATAACTCGCATTTTCCATCAGATAGTTTGTTTGTTCATTATAGAAAATTCCGATTTAGTCTTCGTTCCTTCGTTCTTAGTTTGATTTTTTTTCTATTGACCAAATACTAACTTTAGACCAGTATAAACTTAATAAGAACCCATGATTCAAAACAAAGTTCTGCAATTGATAATAATTTTATAACTTTTAACAATTTATTTTATCTGTTCTGATATCTTTATTTGTGTATATTGTTAATGTAATTAAAATTGCTTTATTTTCAGTTATTAAAAATGTGCTAGCAGAACAAGTAAAAAAGAAAAAAGCTCAAAAGAAGAAGTCCAAAACTATACTTCAGGATTATAGCTCTTTAAAAGACGCTTTACCAGATTTAGTCGAACTTAGAAAAGAATGGTGTGTATTAAATATGAAGTATTGCCGTGCATGCTTTATAAAAGTGTATTTTCATCACTCTTTCTTTGTGTTTATTCACTCTCATCATTGTATTTCTTCCAATGTATTTCTGAAACTCCATAAAAGATATTTTATGGTAGATTAGTCTTATTGATACTTCTCAGCATCAGTCTTTTTGGTCAACACTGTTACTAATACTCGTTTTTAGTCTGAAATGGCTTGTTGGTTAAATGACAGGAAAGTGAAAGTAGGGTGCTTATTGCTGAATTTTACTTTTGTGAAATAAGTGACAAATAAATAATAGATAAATTGAATAATTCATAAAAATTTATTATTTAACTGCATGTTATAATATTGACTCCCCCATTGATACCAAATGTGTACGATCATGCGTACGAGGTTCAGGAGAAATTAAGGCGACTCTAGAATGAAAAAAAAAAATTCCGAATAAAAAAAATATCAATTATTATATTATAACACAAATAGCTTAATATGTCAATATTTTTTTATGAGTTTAAACTCCTTAGCTTAATGAATTGGATGTTAAATTCAGTTTTATAAATTATTGCTATTTCAATAAATTTTGACTTCTGTTATTTTTAACTCATTTGCTTGTTTGTTGAAAAATTGTGTAGAGTTCTAAATTAGTTTTTCTTTTTTTTGTTAACGAAAAAATTATCAAGGTTTAGCGATATACAAACTTTACTTTGTAGAAATGTTTAAAATATGTTACTGTAACTAAAGAAAAAATAAAAAGCCCTATAATCTTGGGGAAAATTTCAAACCAAAAAAACTGTGTTCATGGAAATATTAGATTCTGTACACCTGTTCTCACTTTGCTACTTTTCTACTCTCCCATTATTGCTATGCAATCATTTTCATGTATTGATAATATAATTTGATAATTTGAATGCAACATTGATTGTTGCATTAAAATTAAAAAGTATTCAATTATAAGGTACTAAATTTTTTTTCATTCCCTTCACACAGATTTTGTTCCACAAATTTATTAATAAATTCTATTGAGATAAAGTTTGAACCTTACCTTTTTGTGTAATTACTATTGTAACTGCATTTGCAATTTGATTTTTTAAATTTTTGGTCATTGTGAAAACTTATTTAATATTTTTTGCTGAAAAGATCTTTTAATAATTCCTTATAATATTTTTTCAATTCTGTGTTCATTATTTTAATTACAAATGTGGAAAAGACATGCTTTCTCAAGAAACTTGTTAAAAAGGTAAATGAGACTTACTTTCTGCAATTGTAAAATGGCTAATAAGGAATAGTCAATTTATCATAAAATATTGTACAATAATATAATAGGATTACTTTATGATAAAAGAACACCATTTACTGTTTTTAATCCTTGAATTTGAAATTATAAAATTTGAAATCAGAAATGTATTTATATTTAAGAATATAATTTAGAAAAGATAATTTTTTAGGTAAGTGCAGTAAAGAATGTTTTACGTAAAAAAAATATTTTTGCCAGTAGAAAATGCTTTTGTTAATTTTATGCTGATCGCAGACAAAGAAATTTAAATCTTCTTTGTTAATTAAGGATCATATCATATGCTTTTGGTGGATTGCATCAAAAATTAAGTAGTTTTAGACCACTGTCTTTGTATGCTATCTATAAGAAACTTATAGAACTGTTAGAATAATGCAATATGAGAAAATGCTGTAAAATGTCTAATGTATGAACCGTTTAGACTTGCATTAGGACATATTATCGAATGAAAGATTGATAAATGCAGTTTGAGAGATGCACATCATAATGTTCTACCTAAAAAGTTAACCAAATAGAAAGAATATCAAAAATATTTTGTTACCTGGTTTAATAAGAAAATCTCCAAACATTTTTAGTTTATATTGACCTTCATTGATTTTCTCTTTTTTGTTGACTTTAGGCAGAAACAATATACCAAGGGTTCATTGCACATTGTTGTAGTTAATTTAAATACCAATAATTTTTTTTTTCTGAAATAAAGTGCAAAACATTCAATTTAGTATTTTCCTTTTAAATTCCTTAATTTTGCAAAAGTAAAATTGAAACTATTCTAGATGGGATGTGGTAAAAAAAAAATTTCTTACTGCAAATTATTTTTATACAATTTTAATTTTATCCTTTGTCTGAAAACAAATTCTGCAAATCACTGTTTAACTGTGCATTTAATTTTTATATTGTGTCTTTTAAATTGTAATTAAGGAGTAATTTAATATGTATTATCTTATTTTAGTGAAGCAAAAGAAAAACCTAAAATACCTAAAGCATTAAAGGCTCAAGCATTAAAAATGTAAGTAGATTTTCAAAATCAGCATCAGAAGATCGTTAAATTTCTTATTAGTTTTTATGGCAATTTCTATTATATTTTCTTATTTGTTTTATATCATATATTGATTTTAGCATATAAAAAAGTTTAAGGAAATAATCATATAGTTCTGTACCATATATATTTTTTAAATTTATTCGAAAACATTTGCAACAGTAAGCTTTGAAAATGTCATTCCAGTTAGACATTGAATGGCTAAAAAATTTTTATTTGAATTTTTAAATTGTGAAAACACTAGATTTAATTCAGAAAACAATTAACTGTTGTCAAAAAACAAATTATAGATCATATTTTTTTTCTTTTGTATTTTATAAAAAATATAAAAACATTTATGAATTAGCAAAAAATTTATAAGTTTATTTAAGAATGTCTTTAAAAGAATCAAATCTGAATAATTTATTTCATTTAGGTAGTAATATTAAACTCTTCAATAAAATAATACTGATAGAATTTTAATTATTATATATTGCAAATCCAAAGTTGAAAAAAAGGTGTAATTTGAAATAAAGTTAACAATGTATAGTTATTATTCTGGTTCAAAAATTCAGAAATAAATTAAAAAAATTAAAGGTTGGTTAATAAAAAACTTATCCTTCCTCTAAACTTTTACAAATCTTTACTGTATTTGAGTAATCTTTAGAAATCTTGGTGTAGTTATTATGCAAAGTATAGTTATTACGCAATGTATAGTGTTTATGCAATGTATATGCTATTATTAAGTAATTGATAGTTATTATTCTGGTATATGCTATTATTCTGGTTCCGAAACTGAGAAATATAATATTTTAAAATTTTAGAAATCTTTACTCTATTTGTGTAATCTTTAGAAATTTTTCTTGCATGAATGATTGAACTCAGTTTTCTTTATGCTTTTTGTTGCAGTTTTATAAATTGGATTAATATATTCAATTAAAAATTTAACTTTCCTTTTAGCCTTGAGTGCTGAGCCAAAAGGACAGATTGTTTGAATTTTCTTATGAACCATACAAGAGTTAAGCCAACTTTGTTTGGAATTTCTCCTGTTTAACATTACTTTCTCCTTACATTAGGAAGAATTGAGTTTTTGTTTTGATAAAAACCAACCAGCTTAAAGCTTAGTAAAAGACACAACTAACTTAAATTCCCTTTACATTATTGTTTCAATATTCTAAGTGAGGAGAATAAGTTTTTGGATGCATAAAAAAAGTGCCATTAACTTAAAAGTCATAAGTATGTCATGAATAAAGTGCTTTATTAAAATTGGAATGTTTACATTACATTCCAAATTAAAGTCTCACTGTCTAAAGGCATTAAAATCAAGTTTCTATTTAATAAATATTGGAGGATTCTATTGAAATTAGAAATTTCTTAGAAAATTCCTATGCTCAGTGTTTAAAAACTTCTCTTTGTAAATACATATATCCTTGAGATTTTTGAGCAGAGTATCAGAAATTACAACAAATTTGCCACCAGACAATTTTTTGAGGGATATTTGGTCAAAAAATAAAAGGCAGTACTGGCTTCTCAAAATTACAACTTACAAAATTGTTTGTTGAAGAAACTTGAAAAAAGAAACAATTTGTGAATTCTGCAACAATGAATTGTTGATGTTATTAAAAATATTATTTTACATAAATATTTTTTCAAAGCAAGATAATTATTTGTTGTAATTAAAATGTTTTAACGACAAACTTTTATTTATGATGGAAAATATTTACCTAGACTGTGCTGAATGTTTTGTTTTCTTTTAATTGAAATGAAATTATGTTAATTAAATATTGGAAAACAGATTGTGATTGGTGCAATTTAGTACTGCTGGTTGAGATCCTGTAAGGAGAATGATTGATCAAACACTATTATTGACTAAGATTTTTTTTTTTTTTTTAAATTTATTTGACATTTTTATAAAAGAATTATGATTCCTCTTGAAGAAATTAAAGTGGATTATTCGAAAATGTTGCAACAAATCATTGCTTGCATTTTAAAATTTGAAGCAATTCAGAGCACCTTTCACTAGTGCCATGTCACAGAACTTGCCCAACGTAAAAAAAGGGAATGGGAAACATCATAAGTACGAGAAACTTTTAAGAATTTTATTAGTTTTTTATTGGCAAATGTTTATTAAGATTTTTTTACTCGTGATAATTTCATTTTTAAACTAAAATGTATTGAAAAATTGAGATTCTGATTGGTACAATTTACTCATGCTGGTTGATCCTGTAAGAAGAAGAATTGATTGAATACTATTATTGACTAAGATTTTAATCTTTTTTGTGACAGTCTGTTTTTCTTTTTTTTTTTTTTAATTATTTGGCATTTTGATGGGGAAAAAATTATAATTCCACTTGAAGAGAATGAAGTGGATTCTTCGGAAATATTGCAACAAATCATTGCTTACATTTTAAAAATTATAGCAGTTCAGAGCTCCTTTCACTAGCTCCGTGTCACAGAACTTGCTCAACGTGAAAAAAGGCAAGAAAAACATAAGTGAAAGAAACCTTTGAGAATTGTATTAATTTTTTATTGGGAAATGTTTGTTGATATTTTTTTACTCATAATTTCATTTTTGAACTTAATTGTTTATTAGGTCTGAAGACATCAAAACATTCAGGAGCCTTATGGAAGACCCAACTTTTGTAGCTGATCCCTTTGCAGCAATATCAGCACATATAAAAACACACTTGTCGTCTTAAATGCCCACTTCTGTGTATATTGTAAATAAATTATTATTAATTTTTATAAATTTTCTTACATTTTGATTGCTAACTGGTTACTACTTGCTTTATTTTCACATTTCTTTTATTTCATTTACCAAATCTTAATCTTCATTCAGGGAATAATGGTTTAGAAAATAAAAAATTTTAAAAATATGTTATTTTGGTTGATTGAAAGGAAAAAAATATTTCTATATAATTATCACACCTAAAATAAAAAATTGTTACACTATGGAGAGACATAAAAAGAATTTTCAGTTATAATAAAAGTTTTTACCTCTAAAAACTGCATAAAATGCAAAATTTTAGAAAATAATCTTTCTAGTGGAAGCAAAATTAATTATTATTTTAATTAGTTGAAATTTAAAGAATCTCAGTTAGGGGGTATGATTAAAAATTTAATCAATTTTAAAATTTTTAATATTTTTAGTAAAATTAAATAGACAGAATAAAAAAAAATTCAAAAAAGGGAGAAAAAACTTTTTAAAGTACTCAATAGAATCTAGGATTTTGGCCAAAGGTGCGTAAACGCACCATTTTAATGAATAATTTTTTATTAATACAGTGGAAAAATATTTTTTAATAATTTTATTGTTCTGCTTTTTTTGAGGGTTCTGAAGACATCTATTAAATATTAGTAATTTAATTGGAGTAAATACTTTCAGTTGGGAAATTTTCAAAACAAGCTAGTTTTTTAATTTCAAATGGTTATTGAAAAAGTTCATTCTTTGAAACTGTATATTTATTCTACTTGTGATTATTATATGTTTGTGTAATGGGTTAAGTTTTTGAAATAAAATTTTAGAAAAAAAAAACAAATATCATAAAAATTTTAATTCAAATTTAATGGTGCGTTAACGCACCATTGGCCGAATGCATGAGTAATAGGCAACATTTGAAAACCCACTTTTTATGCAAGGTTTCATAGTTTTATTGTATATTCAGAATTTTATTGAGAAGTTTTATTGTTATCAGAGTTGATCAACAAAATATGCCATTAGAAATAACCATTATTCTGAAGTTACTTAGCGATGTTTCAAAACCTGGGGTGTACAAAATTTATTTTGATAAGTTTTTCTCTTCCCATAGTTAATTCGAAATTTTGAAAGAAAAGAGTTTCTTTGCATCTGGCACAGCTCGAGAAAATCGCATAGCTGGTTTTATATTGGATGACTCCAAAAATATGGAAAAAAATATCGTGATTCCAACGATTTTGCATTCAGCAAATATACAAATACAGTACACTCTCGATTATCCGGTTTGCGGATTATCCGTGCTCATTCCGGAATCACACAAAAAATATAAAGAGAAACATTTTCAAGATTAAAAAAAATTGATTCATGAAGTTATAACACTACCAAATTTTTGGAAGCAATATTCGTTATTGGATTGCAGTATATGAAATATCAGCAACATGGTCAAAGGTAAAATTGTCTACGTTATCACGATCTTGGAGAAAGATCATACCGCTTGATGAACAATCCTCTTCAGATGTTCAAGAAAAATATGATAACAGTATTCTCGAACAAGCAAAAGAAATCTAAGGTTTCGAAATTCTTGATGAAGAAAATTTAGAAGATTGGTTTCAAAGTGATGCATGTGAGCTTGGCTTCCAGTATTTGACTGATGAAGACATCGTTATGTTGTTAAATCAAATAGTGATGATAGTAACTGATGCAGAAGATGTAGTAAATGAATGAAATACAATTTCTCATTCTGCTGCTCTGTGGAAACTTTATTAGATTATATGGGAGGATTTGATTACGGTGACATTACTGCGGTTCGTAAAATATGTGTATCGATATATGTCGAAGACGCATTACGCATTTTTTAAAAAGGAAAATTCCTAGTTTGTTATGCATGCAAATGTCAGTCATTTTTATATTTTTTGTACTGATATTGAATTTTTCTCTAACAAAAGGAGTTTTCGGATTATCCGTGTTTTTCGATTGTCCGTGCGACCTGTACCGGTGATTAACCCGGATAATCAGGAGTGCACTGTACATGTGTAATAAAATAAAACGACAATGCTGTAGTTACAATTGTTACTAATAACGGTACCATTTTGCCCCTTGGAAATGCCAAACGCAGAGAAAGAAAAGAAGTGGAGATTTCACAACTCAACGTTATTTTGGATTACAATAAGCATATGAGAGGTGTAGACCTACATGACAATGCCATAGCTAATTGCCACATAAAGATTCAGGGTAAGAAATGGTGGTGACCATTATTTACAAACATTATTGATAGCGTTATAGTAAATTCATGGATTTTCTACATAGAATTTCAAATAGCTCAAAAATATCACTTATAGACTATATCTTATAAAGCTGTTGCCCCATTAACATATGAAGCCGTGAACAATCCATTTGGTGAAAGTACATTACCAGATACACATCCTAACAAGCCCATCATCCGCAGCTCTACCTAAAGTTCAGACTGTTAGGAAATGAAGGTACGCCGCTATTTAATGATGACTATCATCGATTTTAGCGAGTTCATATCATTATGGAATTAAGTTGACATGTTTTATATACTAGTGAAGTGGTATTTAATATTAGTTACGCCACAAAAATTAAAAACAATTTCTCGAGTTGTGGAACTCGGACCTTTGAAAATGAACCCTGTTATAAATAAAGCTATAATAGTGCGTTTACTCAATACAAATATGAAATTCAGCTCGGATTACTGTCATTGAGCTCGGAATAATGAGCATGAGCTCGTCTCTCTTTTTAATAGTACTATCCTTAATGCATATACTCGATAAATATATGAAATAATCACGATCTCTGATATGTATTATAGGACTATAATTAAAAGCACGTTTAACACGATGCGAATATGAAAAAAGGTAACCATTATCGAGCATGGACCTTAATAAATGGTCTCAAACTCACTTTCATTTAGAATATCCTTAAAAGCTTTTAAATACTAGGTATATGAAATTATCCAAGGCTATTGTAGGGAAAGGAAATTCCGTAAGGTTTAACGAAGTAATTATACGTTGTTATGTGCACTGTCATCATCAATTACCCCTTTTATGCAATGATATTGCATAATATTAGGCTTTTACGTAATTATCTCAGACACAAGTATTTAAGGAAATTAGATGACGCCCTTTCAATAGAGACATCTTTGCATTTACTTATATTCGCCTAAGATTTCCTTACAGTATATTTCGAATGCTACAATTCAACTGAAATAATAATTTTGTTACTAAAACTTTGATTTGGATGGTAAAATACGCTTTGGTATCGTACGCTATCGTTTATATTGCTAGCGGGGGCGGGCATTCACCCGGAGCAGAAGGTTAGGGGGGCGCCGAACGAGACAGATTTTATGTTCTCAAAATTTTAAATTTCCTTTTTTTTTTTCTTTTTTGTGTGCTTATATTGTATGTTGAAAAATATATTTATAGGTTATTATTTTTTTATTGCATATTCTTAGATTAACTTTCTATATGTTCTAGTTCAATGAGTAAAAGTTTTACTAGAGATGGAAAGGACAGCGTGCAGCAGAAAAGCTACTAGTTTGACATTGAATAAAAAGAGTTCCACATTTTCCAAGGAGTCAGGGCTGATTGTGCTCCGGAAAAAATCCGGATTTCCGGAATTTTCGCTAACAGTGATCCGGAAGTTTCCGGCGATCGCAGGTCCAGATGTTTCAAAAAAACATTGATCACAAAAGTTTCCGGAAATCAAAATTTCAAAGGTGGAACTTAAAAACACAGTTTATTTTATTTGTTTGTAAGGGAGAGCCAGAGAGATACTTTATAAGCTTATATTAATTTTTTATCAGTAAATAGTTGTTATAATCATAAACTCAAGAAAGAAAGACATATTTGTAAATTTTAATTACTTCTCCAGGTCATCATAGGTATGTGTAAATGGTATAGGTATGTGTAAAGTTTTAAATATATTTTGAGTAAACTAAGAAATATTGAGAAAAAGGAAAAAAAATCCTTGTTTAAATTTTTTTCTAATTTCACAATTTAAACTGTAACTCGAGAAATTTTCCGGAATTTTGACTTTGGCTCACAATCACCCCTGAAGGAGTGAGAATGAGCTGTTTCGGAGAAGGCATTTAAAATGAGCTGTTTTGGGGGAGGCATTTAAAGAATGACAATATGAACAGTTCATTCATTCTTTTAATTTAGTGTGTTATGTCTTGTTAATTATATGAAAACAGGGGAATTTTTTTAAGAATAAAACATCTCTTTGGAATTTAGGTTCACGATCAAAACTGTATTACTTTAATTTACGTTTTAATCAAGGATTTAAAAAAAAATTGCAGAGTGCATTTTTTTATCGCTATGTCTCATGATTTTACGATAGATCCTATTTTCTTCTTTTTTTTTTTGATTAAAAATAAATTCTTTTTTTTTTTTGTAATACATTTTAAAAAATTAATCTTCTTAAAAAATGTTTGTTGTATATTTCAAACTATTAAACGTATCTTTGTTTTTTGCACAAATATGAAAGAATAATAGGAATTAATTTTCTAATAAAAAACTGAGTGCGTTCAACTAAGTATTAGATTTCGGTCTTGGATATGTACTACATGTGAACCTGCGTGTCAAATTTACTCCTAACATAATGTGAAATTGTTGATATAAATCTTAATATTTAATGTTCAAAATACTCCTATTTCGTCTCCAATTTAAGTTTTTCATCCAAATCAAGGCGGAAGTTTTTAGAAATTGGGCTTAAATAGAAAGAAGACGAAGGTTATTTTTTTAGATAATTACTAAAGATTGGATAATTGCCAAGATATCTAAGTAAATTTTATGTTAACCACAAAAAACATGCTTTCCTTTTTTTCAATATTTCATATATTTTGTTCTTTGATCTATTTTGAAAATCGTATTTAAAAGAATTTCTGGAAGACTAAAGTAAGACTTATCTTTTTTTTTACAAATAATTGCTAATAGCGAGCCAGATAACTTCTTTATTCATCTGATTCATCTAAATGTTTATTATTTCAGTCGTTTCCGTTGCACGAAGGTTTTTATTTATTTACATATATAGTT